AAAATATCTTATAATAATTAATGATCTTTTGGAAAAAGTGATGTATAATACGAATTCTTCCATTCTTTGTTATACATTGTTTTAAAAACATGATATTCTGCTTTAAGTCTTTCGCTTAAAGCTTCTGCTGACAATCATGGACGATAGAAAGGAAGGGAGCTGGTTCTTTTTCTAACATTAGTAGCAGAGGAGAGTGTTTACTGACCGGTCGCAGCTCTGTTGAATCCCACTCCAGATATTCGGCCACGTGAACCATCTGATTGATGATGCGATCGAGCTCCTGGGAAAAAAGAGAAGGAATCAAGATGGACGGATGGAAACTATCGCTCCATCTTCAAGATCTGCTTTGTTTCTTGTTTCATGGTGAATGGAATAGAATAGAATAGAAAAGAAGGAAAGAAGAAAGAAAAAGAATAGAAGAGAATAGAATAGAAAAGAAAAGAAGAAAAGAATAGAATAGAAAAGAAAAGAAGAAAATAATAGAATAGAAAAGAAAAGAAGAAAATAATAAAATAGAAAAGAAGAAAAAAATAGAATACAATAGAATAGAAAAGAAGAAAAGAATAGAATAGAATAGAAAAGAAAAGAAGAAAAGAATAGAATAGAAAAGAAGAAAATAATACAATAGAAAAGAAAAGAAAAGAAGAAAAGAATAGAATAGAATAGAAAAGAAGAATAGAATACAATAGAAAAGAAAAGAAGAATAGAATAGAATAGAATAGAAAAGAAAAGAAGAAAAGAATAGAATACAATAGAATAGAAAAGAAGAAAAGAATAGAATAGAATAGAAAATAAAAGAAGAAAAGAATAGAATAGAAAAGAAGAATAGAATAGAATAGAAAAAGAAAAGAAGAAAAGAAAAGAATAGAAAAGAAAAGAATAGAATAGAATAACCCTTTATTGTTTTTTTGAGGTGAGTGAGTGGCAAAGGAAATAGGCAATGAAAGCATACAGGGCTAAATCCTAAAAAATATCATAATTTAAATAAAGGTTAAATAAAAATAGACTTTATTGCAAATATTAAGACTACCTTTGCTTTATAGTGAAAACACTGTCTGTGCAGAATTTCTTTGCTCCTTATATTTGATCACTTCAACATGTACAGTAGCTCACATTAAACTAAACAGATCCATTAACAGTGATCTGATGTAAACATGCAGAGTTCACATGGTGTTGAGGTTTCTATTCCTGGAGCTGCAGGCCTCAGAGTGACGGAGGAAAAGGAGGAACTTTGACAGAATCCACTCACTGAGCTGTCCAGCACGCCGTTCCCGTCTGTGTCGTACAGTCGGAACATGACTGGAGGGGGGGGGACAAGAGAAGAGAGATCCCATTAGAAGTTGGATCGTTTTCTCCTGGATTCTGGGATGATTTAGAGAGAGCAGCTCCAGCAGCAGGAACCAGAGAGCAGAAACCAGCCCTGTCATATGGAGGGAAGTTAGTTTGGTTCAGCAGCTAAAGGAAGAAATGATCCGTCAGCAGGAGGGAGGAGTTAGTGAGGCCCAGGGCAGCCAGGGACAGCTGCCTGAGCTGAAGGTTCATACGTCCTGATTTACACTAGAACACCATCCATCCATCCATCCATCCATC